CGATATAATGTTGTAAAAAATTATTATGTTTAATTTGTGTTTTAATTAAACAACATATTTATTATTATAATTGTGATTTTTATTTATTTAAACTCTTCATTGCATTTAATTTACTTTTCATTTCAATCAACGAAATACTCAGTAATTTTGAACACATTTTTATAATTAAACTAAAATTCAGTTAAACACACAAATAAAAATTTTAATAAATTATAAGTTAAATAAACACTAAAATGAATGAAACAAACGTGCAGTTCAAGTGTTGTATTGACTAAAATAATTTCCACGTGTTTTCAAAACTGAATTTTTATGACAACCAAAACCTGTTCCCAGATATCAGTCATAAAAACCCTTCAAAATACACACAACAACACAATAGATAAGCAATAATTTACGATTAAAACAAATATAGTTCAAATTAAATTATATATTGAAGTTAATAATGATAACAATTAGTGTAAACGTTTTGTAACTTTTTATTATTATTAATAATTGTTTAATATATTAATGCAAATAATATTTCCTATTTCATCAGGGACTATTTAATATATATTTTGCATAACAATAGCCTACCTGACCCTAAATGGTCTAAACATATGGGAAATAATGTGAACAAATATTAAGAATTTAAATCCCATTTCATAAAATATAATTACAATAAACTCTTTACCAATAGTTGCGATATAATGTTGTAAAAAATTATTATGTTTAATTTGTGTTTTAATTAAACAACATATTTATTATTATAATTGTGATTTTTATTTATTTAAACAACTAACTGTTTATTTTATTTTTGATAATATTTAATATACAGTATAATGTAAAAAAAAATTAATTAAATAATTTTAAAAATATTTTAAATTGTTATTTAAAAAACATGTTTGTTAAGGTGCAATAAAACACCTTGATGATTGGCACCATCGGCCAATCAGATAAGATCAAAGTGTAATATCTGTTCAAATCAGCTTAATATCCGATACGACTCCCATTATTTGCCACAAAGTTATTATACGGATTTTTGTTGGACCCCTGAGTACAGGGTTTGACTCATGAATACTTATGAATAGTATATAATTTTATATAATTTCCACAAACATTGCACAAAAATTATATTATATTATCCAAAAGATAATTAATATTTTAGTTGACAGTTTGGTATATTATTTTTTATTTTAAACTCTTGTGTTATTTTATGTGAAGTTTTATAACAGTTAAATTTTATTTATCACGATTGGACCTGTAATGTCATTAATTAATTAGTAATTAGGCATTTGTTATGTAAATTAATATATAAATTGGGATTTTATGTGTTATGTATTGAATTTACAATGAATTTAGTTTTACTTTTAAATAACTTTATATTAATTAAAACCCTTAAATTGAGTTATAAATTATAATTATAATTTACAATTAAAAACCCGTTATAAGTAAAAACAAATTCAATTGCTTTTTATACAATTATAATTAACTCAATGTTAAGGTAGTGTTTAAAACATAGCATTTGCGATACAATTATGTTATGAATTAACATTTGGTTTTGAGATTACAATTAACATAAAATTAATTATTTTAAAACCCACAGAAAATGCTATGATTTGTTGTGGCAATTATTTGTCTGTGATTTGTGTAATAATTACCAATAATATTGCATATAATTTATTAATACAGCAATGAGTGAGTGAGTGAGTGAGAGAAAGAAAGAAAGAGAGAGAGAGAGAGAGTCACTAACAGCTGGGAGATTACTTTCCCAGTTTATTTACAACGTCCATAATTATAGTTTAAGCTTCTAGGGTTAATATGAATCAGTATATCGATGGGACTAAACATGGTAAATCATGTGTACAAAAGTTTGTAGCTGAGCTTGATGACTTTGATCCGGTGAGAAATATCACCCAAAGCGAGGACTGTCTGGTTTTAAACGTATGGACACCTAAAACGCCTACCGGTGACCGACAGAAAGCGGCCCTAAAACCGGTCATGTTTTGGATACACGGCGGAGCACTTATAACTGGCTCATCATTTCAATGGCAATACAATGGCACAGCACTGGCCACCAATGATGTGGTCATTGTGTCCGTTAACTATAGGTTAGGACCGTTTGGTTTCCTATACGGGGATCGGGAGGACGCGCCCGGAAATGTGGGACTCTATGACATGTTATTTGCATTAAACTGGGTATTTATTGATAGATGCTTTAATTGCAATTTTAAATTATTGTAATGCAATTAATATAATGACATAATAATAGGTTAGAGAAAACGTTCATTCATTTGGCGGAGATAGGGATCAGATCACTATATTTGGTGAGAGCGCCGGCACGTGGGCCGGGGCGTCAACCCTCATACTCTCCCCGCTATCCAAAGGCCTATTCAAGAGGGCTATTATGGAGAGCGGCGCCCATTATTACAATAGTAGAGATCCTCTATATTTGGTGAGAGCGCCGGCACGTGGGCCGGGGCGTCAACCCTCATACTCTCCCCGCTATCCAAAGGCCTATTCAAGAGGGCTATTATGGAGAGCGGCGCCCATTATTACAATAGTAGAGATCCTATGAGCAAAGCCGAGGCCTTGACTTTCGCCAAACAATTTGCCAAAAGCATGAACTGTACGGACGGACAGAAATGGTTGGACTGTTTACGTGGTATCGACGCCCAGGCGTTGATCAAAGGGTACGACACAGTCGTTCAGGTATTCCCACTATTGGACACTGAATTAATACCACTGCCCGCTCAGAAAGCATTCAAACTAGATTCATTTAATAAAGGTATGGACTTCTATTAACTGTACAAATAATTTATAATCAAAACATTTAACATTATTGTTTAGTGTCAATACAGTTTAACTGTTTAAATGCATTTATTTTATTATCTTAATGCATTTTCAATTTTAAAATAATTAATTTGTATGACAATAATGATGATAATAATATAAGTTAATTTACCATAATATAAAGATTTGGATATCATGGTTGGTCTTATGAGGAATGAGGGTTCATGCTTAATAAATACATTAGTAAAACCAAACCAAACCCTAAAAGACTATCAAGATTTTGTGGCATTGATTGACACGATTTACCATAATTTTGATATAAAACGTGTCGAACAGTTTTATTTAAAATCTAGTGAATCAAATAATTCCAATGCTATTCTATGGGCTGAATATGACATGTATGGTGACGTACGCATCACATGCCCGACTTATAGGTTTGCCAAAGCGTACGCCGAGTTGGGAGGCGCCGGTGGTGTGTATTTCTATGAGCAGACATATCAACGCAAATCATTTTTAGATGAAAAACTTTATGGAGTGACACATCAGGCGGACGTTGACTATGTATTCGGTGCACCCCTTCTGTATCCATCAATCACTGACACAGCAATTGATACACAATTCACTCTTCAAGTCATGAAATTGTGGACAGATTTTGCTAAATATGGGTTAGATTTTCATAATATTAAAGTTTATTATAATATTTTGTTTAATTTTTGAAATTTTGTTTAACAATAGCCGACCGAACCCTAAATGGCCTAAATTTATAGATAATAAAAATAAAGATTTATTGCCAAAAGTGATTGAATTAAATCCATACAAATTATTAAAATTGTTGGACAATCCGTTTGCGAAAACATGCGATGGCTTATGGAATGAATATTACAATTAATTATTAATGAATATTTTTTATAAAGTTAAATTTTTGCATGATAAATGAAATTAATAAAAATTAATTGGATATAATAATTATCAAATATTTCTTAAACATAATTTGAATCAAACACTGTCTATAATGATTATTATATACTGGTTCTACTCTCCCTATGGTGAATTTAGGGAAATATTAATATAAAAGTTACTTATTACATCTTACTGGTTAGTGAAAATATGCATTGAGCAATTAAATTTTATTTGAAATGAAATTTTTAATTGTAATTTTAAAAACGTCATACATTCACTAATTCAATTATATTTTATTAATATTATTAAAATTCCGTCAATCAGATTTAAATTTATTTTGCAAATAATATAAATTAAAAATATTAATATATGTTGTAATATTATTTAGTTATGTTCCCTCTTATTATGACTTTTTAATTCTTGTTTTGTAACAAACCGTTGATTACAGTTATTATGAATACATTTATGGTTTTGTATTTTATAATGTCTATTCATATGTACTGTTAATTCGGCTTTTGTCATAAAAGTTTTGATACAATCATTGAAATTACAAATAAATGGTTTGTCCCCCGAATGTATGCGTTTGTGTTGAATTAAATACAGTTTTAAAGTAAATGCTTTGCCACAATTTTCTTCATTACATTTGAATTTTCTTTCATTCAAATGAACACAACTTTTGTGTCGAATTAATTGCTGTTTTGTTGTAAAACTTTTGTGGCATTCATTGAA